GCCTGTCCTTCCTCAAGTTGTTTATCTCATTGGAGCAACAGTCCTCCATAAGCCAAGACCCAGGCTTTGTAATTTTCGACTTAATTTCCTCCTTGCGGGTATAAATAGCGTCGTAAATTTGTAGTGAGAGATTTTCTCAACGAATGAGCCAAGCTCATTGTTTGTAATTACAGTAACGCCTTTATCAGTCGTTGCGGCGAGGTCGTGTGTGGTGAGGTTAAGGTAGAGGACTCTCGTGAGAATGACAAGACCGACATGGATGAGAAGTCGCCTATTGCATTTGCATATTTGTCGATCGATAGAATGATGGATAAGTCTGGCAACCTTTGGCCGCGCCGGCTCGCAAAGCGCCATTCCGAGGGCTCAGAGACTAGGCCCTGGTCGTGGGCTTACTCGTTAAATGAAAACTCACTCGCTCATTCAGCATTACGCCACCTGGGCTGCGTGTCATTTGTCTATGTGAGTAATTTGTGACGACAAGAGATCTCCAGTTCGTAAGGCAAGTCATTCACGAGTTCGTGCTCAATGTGAATGACTTCCAGAAAATTATTATCAACCCGATGCGCCCCACGCCTATCATTCATTGTATTTTTGTGGCAGTTGAGCGTGTTACGGGTCTTACACGCTAGCAGTGGCTGGACTGACCCACGGGCCCAGCCTATATTTTTTTATCATTAAATGTGTATGCAGCTGTGGGTACGGGTAAGTATACGAGACTTTTATCGCTCGGGACTCACGATATCGGATTCACAGGGTGATCAACATCGAAGTCTGAAAAAAACAGAAGGTTGTCTAGCCTTTCTTCTAACGACTACTACGCTCTACATCTATCCTATGCTATTGCCCTAAGCGGCGATCCCGTCTTCTCTAACTAGTGGTAAGACGACTTTTTTTTTTTTTGCATCAGATTTTAATTGCGTATGCAGCTATCTAGCTATGACACAATATCAAAGAAAAGTACAGAAAATGTGGTAAGACGACGCTAGTACCTCGTCTCCAGCTCCTTATTATTTTCGCTTTAGGACCCTCACAGCTATCTAGCTATGACACATGACCGGTGCTGTGTATACATGTGGGATGACTCTTTTGACGTTAGAGACAGTATTTCATTTGCAAATACCACTATGAGGTATGTTCGCTTACACAAACAGTCGACCCTCCTCAGTATGTACCCACTAAAGGGACGTTTCAAAACCTTTGATTATCAAAGCATGCCTTCGTCATCCATGCATACCAGCGCCGCCAGCAAAGTGGTTGTGTTTTGCCGGATTTGAACCAGCGATCTACTGTCTCAAGTGGGATATATGTCCAAGCTATCCAGACTCTACTTGGCAGACCGGCCAAGGCGATGTACCACCGCACCATCCAACCATGGCAGATTTTATAGTATCGCCTGCACTCTCGCAGCCGAAGACTTGGCACGCACAAAGCTCAATTTGTAAAAACTCCTTTCCAAAATTCAAAATTCCACGCCCGTCGAGACTGTATCCAATCCTCTGCATCATCTTATCAACTTGTCCTGATCCCTCTCACATCCATCCCAAAGAGCTGTCTCCCAGATTTGTGCGCCACGCTTTGTGTCCTTCGTCGGGTTTAAATATAGGCGTGGGCGTGTATCTGGCGACCAGCTAAGGCCAGAGAAAGTCGACAAGAGATGTGGTCATTGGGATTAGGATGTATTAGGTCGTACTTGTAAATTTGATGAGGTTTAGGTAGGAATCGATTTCGTTGGGAGTGAAAGATTGATATGGTGGAGTAATTTGAATCATTGCCTCGTGGGCCAACTTGTTCGATATTGCGAAGTTTGACTGAACTTGGCTCTGGGAGAATATTTCACTCCCAGGTTCGTATAGGACACCGCGCACAGGTGTTCAGTCTTGCCCTCCGGACTCGGCCTTCATTAACCTAACTCTAACCTAGGCGGCCCGATGCTCGAAAATTCGTACCCACCATATCTTAAGCAACTAGTGAAGCCGACGTGTTAAGATGCGACAACTTATTCAGTCCTAGTCTAATCGAGGACATCTAAGCGTAACAGCCATTTTAAGGTGATCCGGATTGTTTCCGGCTAACGGCCATGACAAAGCCGTCATGCCTACAGTACAGAGTGCCCTCTTCTGCGCCTCCTGAATCGCTTCTATCTAGCACTGATAGCCCCACAGATTCCCATTCGGATAAGCGATAAGGAATCTAATGCAATGTTGTAAAACTTAGAGAGGTCTTCGTGTGAGTGTCATTTGAATCGTCAAAAGATGAAAGCGAATACAAGAATGAATTGATCAATTGTCTCCGTGCTACGAGTCCATCGTAGCACTATAATATCTAGTTCTACCCTATTGATGCCCCTGATCATCATTACTAGTCTGACATGCCTGCACGCAGATCTAGCTTTCGCTTTTGGACTGGGTCCAGACTTATGCAAGCACAAGTCTGCTTACAAATGTAAGTCATTTACTCCACCAACCAACGCTAGGCAAATTCTCTGAGTGCAGAAGACACTATAACCACCGCCTTGGTTGGATGGTGCGGTGGTACATCGCCTTGGCCGGTCTGCCAAGTAGAGTCTGGATAGCTTGGACATATATCCCACTTGAGACAGTAGATCGCTGGTTCAAATCCGGCAAAACACAACCACTTTGCTGGCGGCGCTGGTATGCATGGATGACGAAGGCATGCTTTGATAATCAAAGGTTTTGAAACGTCCCTTTAGTGGGTACATACTGAGGAGGGTCGACTGTTTGTGTAAGCAAGCATACCTCATAGTGGTATTTGCAAATGAAATCCAGAGTATGAGTGTCTCTAACGTCAAAAGAGTCATCCCACATGTATACACAGCACCGATCATGTGTCATAGCTAGATAGCTGAATACACATTAAATGATTTAAAAAAAAAAAAAAAGAAGGCCGAGTCCAGCTAATCAGGGTGATTTGCTGCAAGGATAGACGATTTCAGCAAAACAAGAACTCTCCTCATTCGAGTTACGTTCCTTGCTGGTCTGCCTAAGGGTCGGATCTTATTTATTTATTTATCTTTATTTAACGTCTGGCGTATCACGCGTCAAGCGAGTAACCCTATTAAGTCCCTACTGAGACAAAAGACGCCCTAAGGGTCGGATCGTTCATCCGAACACCCATCGTCCTGTGTATCCAGGTCACGGGATATTGTGTTGATAAGATTAGTGGGAACTTATTATGTAATCGTGTATTAGCTTGCTTGTAACATTAGGAGTTTCCTGTTAGGATCATGAGCGAACAATTTACACCTGACTTAACGACTTACCAGGCATTCTGTGATACTTAGTACAGGCGTGCTTTTAGTCCCTAGTCAACCGTAAGCCACATTGAAACCGTACGCACAGTCCGATCAGATTTCCCAATGACAACATTGACGACCCGACATCCCCCTACTAGATCCAAAAAAAAGCTCTAGTCTATTTCGCAGTTGGTAATTCGTTTGATCCACAGCCTATACTCCCGTTAAAATTGTAACTAAGTGGGCCTCACGCTGGCTGCTCAAAGATTCAGTCTACATTGATTCTCCTGAAGCTGCTGACATCTGTCGAACGAGCGATCATCCGCACTTTGCGAATTATTTTCTCATAACTTCCACGCCGTTTACCTCCGTCGTGAGCCCGAGGCTTCTCCCTGTAAGTAGATGTAGTTAAAGGTGAACAGGGGCGAGGGTTTGTTGGAGACGTCGATCATTATGCGCGTTGGAGCTTGGCAAAAATAGAGACAACATGTAACCCTTGAACGTAGGCGAAATCTCGGGCCCTGCCACGAAGCCAAGACCCACGGATAACATTTGGTGGATCTCGGATAGCTCGTGCGGTGCGTATCCGATGAAATATGTATGTTGCAGGTTGAATGCGTTTGAGTTTTTGTTATTATTGTCTTTTCTGAGTCCGTGTCACCCGTGTAGACAAAGAGCTGGTTTCAGCTCCGCAGGTCATGATGACGGCTTTGAAGGTCAATCCTTAACATCAGTTTTCTCTGAGCCAATGTGCCTTCAGATACTGGCCCGCAAAACTTCCTTTTTACCGTGACCGATCAATTACAATTAATCTAGCCAGAGTATTCCGTTTGCATAAAAAGACTTTCGTTATCAGACCTGGTGCGAGTCAATATCAGAATCTCACTCGACGGGCTTTATGCGTGGCTTTGCATATATGATAAATGTTTGCCTCTCTTCACGTTGTGTAGAAGCAAGGGCTTATGCGCAGCATCGACTTGTGAAGGTGGATAGCTAGTAGTGGCGATGCCTGCGCAGCCACTTGCTCATTTCTTGATAATTTGTGTAAAAATTGACAGCAAGTTGACGGGTTGGTGTCTTTGACGGAACGGATCCGTCTGCGTTTTAGGCCGCATCTTGCCGGCAGGCTTCTAACTCACTATGCAGGCACGTGCAGAAATATAAGCTTGTAGCCTCACATGCTCTCGATAGTTCAGCTGCACAGTTCTTTTGTTCGACGATCACTAATAGCTCGCTGGATATCCCACAGGTATCTAGGCTAACAAGTTACTATTGTGGCTCTGCCTCACCTCTACGTTTCTATCATAAGAGCGGCTCTAGAATAGTAGACGAGGATGCAAAACCTTGGGAAAGATGTTAACTGTGAGTGGGTCGACGATTAATTAAATTATTATATACAGGCGGGTAGGTTTTCCCCATTCTTCGGAAACACTATGCCTGCTCAACAGCCCTGTGGACAACGATTCGCAAAACGAATTGCCGTCACGTTGCGGCCAATAATTATGTGATTGGGTACAAGGTCTTACGCCTGACCTATCACCCCCTTCACGGCACTTTTGAGTCTCAGAACATGCGCTTGGCGTAGAAGACGTCTGGGGCTGCAGCGAAGTTAGCAACTGCCTTAAAAGGATCGCGCCTGGCAACTTCTCCGGGCAGGAATCCTGTATGTGTGTCTACAGAGATCCAGGCTCACAACTCTTTTGCTTCTTTTAAAAGTGCCCGAGCGAATGACATAGACGGCACCGGCATGAAACTATTCAGCACTGTCCACGGTCATGATGCGACCCCAGCAATGCCTGGATGGGAGAAAGATGAAGACACCGCCGGCGGTTACGATAAATATCAGCTTCGTAAATATCAAAAAGAGGCAGGGAGACGGAAATCACGACGTGCTGCTATGGTTGTGGCATCAATTAGCTTCGTTGTCCTATCTCTATATTGCCTAAGCACTTTGTAGGTCTGCTCACAAGAGAAGTCTGGTTGCGCTTCACTCCTAGAATCCCACAAATTTGAATTTGGTTTGAGTTGCCGCTAATAACGATCGATTTAGTAGAGGCTATACTTATCCGCCATTCCTTACGAAGAAGTCGTGTTCCTCGGTTGACTTCGGCTTCACTTGCGAACCTAAAATTTCTCATTCTTGGGGCCAATATTCACCTTATTTTGCCGTTTCGTCAGATATTGCTACTGAAGTCCCAGAACAATGCCAAATTACCACCGCCCAAATTCTTTCTCGCCATGGGGCTCGATACCCAACAAAGTCTGCAGCGGCCAGGTATCACCAACTACTTTACGATATCCATACCAACACTACCTCATACAGTCCCAACTTCTCATTTATTCGCGAATATAAGGGTCAATACGTGCCTGACCAGTTAACTGACTTCGGTCGGCAACAAATGTTTGATTCCGGCGTTAAGTCGTACAATCGCTACAAGGTACTCGCACAACAATCCGCTGCTCCTTTTGTTCGCTCCTCGGGTCAAGAAAGAGTTCTAGAATCATCCCTCAAATGGGTGCGTGGCTTCGACGACGCTCGTCGACAAGATTCATCTTCAGCTCCAAAGCCTGATCCGGCCAGCATCCTTATCATTAGCGAAAAGCCTGGCGTCAACAATACCCTGAACCATGGTCTCTGTACTAAGTTTGAGGAAGATCCTGAAATCTCCGAATTAGGACACACCTCGCGGGGCACATGGGCCAACATCTTTACCCCACCCATCTCTAGGAGATTAGAGAAAAACTTGGCCGGCACAAAGTTTTCTCCCGAGCAGACAATTCAGCTTATGGACCTTTGTCCTTTTGATACCATTGCTAACGAACAAGGTGAAGTCTCTCCATTTTGCCATTTATTCACTGCGTCTGAATGGCACGCCTACGACTACTACCAAACCGTTGGAAAGTACTACGGTTATTCATGGGGTAATCCCCTTGGACCCACTCAGGGCGTCGGTTTTACTAATGAGCTCATTGCACGACTCACTCGCTCTCCCGTTGTCGATCATACGAGCACCAATAACACACTTGATCATAACGCAAAGACATTTCCTCTTGACAATCAAACTGCTCTTTTTGCCGATTTTAGTCACGACAACGACCTCACTAGCATACTGGCTGCTGTTGGTCTCTACAAAGTTTCTCCGCCACTATCAAAGACGGCGCGTCCAGTCTTCAACGCGTCTCACGACTATTCGACTAGCCGTACTGTACCGTTCGGTGCGCGCATCTATTTCGAAAAGTTGAAATGCGAAGATACACGGGAAGATTTAATCAGGATAATTGTGAATGATCGAGTCCTTCCGCTCGAATCTTGCGGCGGAGATGAATTGGGTAGGTGTACACTAGATAAGTTTGTGGATAGCCTAAAATTCGCGCAACATGATGGAAGATGGTCTGAGTGTTGAAAGCATTTTTGTATCAAATATTATGTTCATATTTCATTAATTACGTATTATGTACATACTACAAATGACTCCAAACGCCTGGAAATTTTTAATAGAAATCCCGTTCTTTGGTAGACTTCTATAATAGATATGCAGCCCCCCCAAATATGGTCATAGCAATGCCACCCCACCACATTAAACTAGGATCAATGGTATGAATTAGTGATGGCCGTATCTCACGTCTAATATGGGTTGCGTGTTTATTTAATGGCAAGTCAATACTTTCCCACTGGCCTGTGGATCCAATTGACCGCTTTCGATTTTTGGAATTAGTCTTGGCCACTGGGTTCATTGTAATCGTAGGAAGCATCTGTGGTGGGCTATATGCTAAATATAGTGGTACAACTGGGGTCCCATCAAATTGATACAGGTCGAGACGTTTCATCTTGGTGTAAGAGTCTATGGATAACTGGTATTTCTAGCTTTCAATTAATTAAGGTAATTGGTACTAAATCTCCATCACCTACCTGCATCGTCTCGGACTGGTTGTAGCGCGTATAAAGAGAATGGCGGTTCGCGCATGGGTCAGATTGCAATTGACGTCCGTCATCTGCAAAAGGTGTTAAACTTAGGGAGCCATCTGAGTTCTGAGTAAAGGTTCCATGCTGAAACTGTAGTATAGCTTTCGGACAGGATGGTTTTGTTGCTATGATGAAGTCAGTGGCCATTTTCTTTGGTAAGGTTATCACGCACGATTGGAAACAGCACGATAATACGCCTCTTCGTAGAAACCATCTTCGGTGAACGAGTAGGAGATTCCCGTATGACTGGGTTCAATAAAGACGTCGTTTACCGGATTGTAGAATGAGGGACCAGTTAGGGTAGAGCCGCTCTTGCTGGCCCAGGTCCCGACAAGCTGTATGTCGACTGCTGAAATTCCTGCAACAAGGCCAACTGAAAGGAAGGTTTGGGTAAACTTCATGATGAGCGGCCTGCTGTAACTCTGGACGTTACCTGGGGATTTTCTCAGTTATTAAGGGCATGGGATCGACATGTGCCATTATTAGGCTAGCCTTATGTCAGCATCTGAGGCAATGGTGATTTGATGTTACAAGGCTACACTCGCAACTCGCCCCTCTGCCCATCCCTTCCTATGCCCTGCGTTCAAGCAGCGGGAGCGGGTCACATGATCTATCTCGGGGCCTCGTAGACCCTCCTGACGTATTTGTTAGGCCAGAGACATGTTGGATATATCGCAGTCGATTCACATAATTTGCGATTTAGACGAGTAGCACCAAGGCCACACAACAACTAATTGCAACTGTAGCCGGGATGAGCGTGAAAAAAGAATTGCGGTCTATGATGAGACAGAAGCTCTCGTCTGTAGGGTCCGGGGTGATTAGTGAACAAAGTATGCCTGCTCACAGCTTCATTAGACACGAGATTCATCGCTTACATCTCAGGTGGCTACATTTTAAAGGCTATCAGCGCCACTCCCCAATACAAGAGTGCTAAGCGCATCGGTATTTATCTCTCTATGCCCAAGGGCGAAGTTCAAACAGATGAGATTGTACGGGATGCTCTCCGACTAGGCAAGCAGGTATTTGTCCCTTACATTACCCAAGGCTCAGTGAAGTCCTCCAAAAAGTCAGCCTCGAGTATGGAGATGGTAGACTTGCTATCTCTAGCCGACTATGAGTCACTGGAGCGGGATAATTGGGGAATTCCATCAATCGCTGCGCACACAATCGGGCAGCGGGAACAGATCCTTCAAAACTCACCTGCCAATAAAGGGCTCGATATGATTCTTGTGCCTGGACTCGCTTTCCAGGTGGACCCTATCTCCAGCTTGGTGAGACGGCTAGGGCATGGTAAGGGCTATTATGACAGGTTTTTAAACCAGTACAAGATAAAATTTACGACGAATGGTGGGCAAGCAGATCGCACAAGTGATGTATTACTTCACGGACTGGCTCTCAAAGAACAGGTTTTAACTGCGGAAGACGAGATGTCCATACCTATAGAGACTCATGATTTCCTTTTGCATGGTCTGGTAGTCGGTGATGGAAGCCTCTTAGAAGCCCCACAGCAGCAAATATAGTTACAAAATTACACGTCAAGCTAAAGTGAAGATTATCAGATAAAATCAATTGAAGCCAGACATATAGAGTTTCTCACTCACAGATTACATCTCTCAGGATATGGCACCAGTCGATATGGTTTCCCGGCTATAAAAATATAAATGGTGAATTGACGTCAAAACAACACAATTTAGTGGGCTTAACTCGCCAGTATTGATTCCTTAGCTTTCCCCTTTCCAATTTAAACCTAACACCCTAGCGTTACAGGTGTTAATTTTGAAATACTTACAGCTTTCTTGGAATACTAGTAGTTTTCTCTTGAAAGGCCTGCGAAAGTTTACGTGATCCATACCGGATAAAAACTATCCATTAACCGTCATAAAAAGAGCCAATTATCAGGCTCCCGAGGTTCCATCTCCAGGGTCCGTGAGACTCATGAATGTTCCATTACAATAATTTAGACGCTATAAAATCTTGAGTCTCATTTGGGCTTGTTTCCTTCATCCTCAATATTTTAGGTATTCAGTGGCAAGACTGATATACCGACCAAGATCAGAGCCTAGGCTTTAGGCTGTAGAATACCCGCGATAAATTTTTCGTATAAAACTGCCAGAAACACTGTTACTTGTAATCACGTGAGCGTTGAGTTCTCGAATAACTGTCTGCTGTGGGTATGAGCTATGCGGAAGATATGCTGCGAAGTGATTAGGGGTAGATAATGTTATATTTAATGTGTGACAATGAATAGACTTATGCAATACTATGTTAAAAGTATGTGTATAGGAAGTGTGAGAATAAAACTGTGTCCTTGTCACGGTTCGAGTGTCGATGCTGGAGCAATCAGATATACAAAGGTAGTTTTTAATTTTCTCTGACTAACCAATGAAGCATTACTTTATCTATTTCTACATTTATTAAAATATCCAAAATATTCGTTGTTGGCTGACATCTGCTTCTCGCATATTCCACTCTTAATTGTTCCCAGTCTTGCTACCAATTACTAGAATGGAGGGCAAGACTGAACACCTGTTCGCGGTGTCCTCTACGAACCTGGGAGTGAAATATTCTCCCAGAGCCAAGTTCAGTCAAATTTCGCAATATCAAAGAAGTTGGCCTACGAGGCAATGATTCAAATTACTCCACTACGTCGTTTTTTCGCTCCCAACGAGTTTGACTCCTATCTTCGTCTCATCGAGTCTACAAGTACGACCAAGTACATCCTCATCCCGATGACCACACCACTCTTTGACCTTCTCTGGCCTCAGCTGGTCACCAAATACACGCCCACGCCGATATTTATACCCGACGGAGGAAGCAAAGCGTGGCGCACAAATCTGGGAGACAGTTATTTGAGATGGAATTGAGAGGAATCAGGATAAGTCGACATGATGATACGAAGAAAGGATAAAACCTCTACGGGCGTGAAATTCTGAATTTTGGCAAGGAGTTTTTCGAATTGGGCTTTGTGCGCGCCAAGACTTCGCTTGCGAGAGTGCAGCTGACACTATAAAAACAAGCCGACGATGGAAGGTGTTGTGATCCGCCCCCTGGTGATGTTCTCTGGTATAGTTTGAGTAGCCTGGGCACCTACTCCACTTGGGTAGGAGACATCTCAGATTACATTTCGCGCGGAGAAAAGTTGAAAGATGATGGAGGCATGTCTGGATAACCCAGGGTTTTCGAGATGTTCCCCTGGGTGGGTATTCACGGATGAGGGTTGACTTGGGGTGAAGAAAAAGCCACCATAACTTCGAAGTGGTACTTGCAAATGATATCCGACGCATGAGTGCTCTTCTTGTAAATTAAGTCATCCTTTCTGTACTTTTCTTTGATATTGTGTCATAGCTAGATAGCTGCATACGCAATTCAAATCTGATGCAAAAAAAAAACAAAAAAAAAACTAGAATATTCCAGTAACGACTGAACTGATCTGGAATAGAGCTAGATTTGATTTTGATTGAATTTAACGTCGTGCCTGTCCATAGTTCGTGACTACTGTCACGTACTGGACGACTCAATCCCTATAGAACTTCCCGACGCTCTAGCACGCACTACAGCTCCTAGAAATTACAAGAGAGTCCGACCAGCTGTCCGACACTCTGCTTTACAATTTAAATGTGGCAAATTTCCTTCTACCGGGAATTTCACATTTTTTTACCAGTAGTTTTAAATTACGCCTGCAGAACAAAAAAATAGGAAAACATATTTCAATCTAACATTAACCCCACACCAGATCGTAAAATTTCACTTGGAAATATCTAATGGGCTCTTTGGATTTCGTCGAAGAACTTCGTCGGCCCGACCCATTTTCCGAAGGCGAGGGCACCTTCAGGCGTGCCAACAGAGGCCTAGGGTTTTCTATTTTCTTCAGTTCCTGTTTCGGACCCTCATAGTGACCCCTCAAGGGAAATCAGAGGAGCAAACTTAGATGCCGAGCCCGATGTTGGCGTAGGAAATGGAGAGGAGGCGCATGAGACTTTTGGAGGTGCACTCCCGATAAGGGGGTCACTAGGAGGCGGAGGAGGATGCAGGGTAAGCCATGCTTTATGTCTCTCCTATCGAATCAGCCATATTCTCTCTTTTCTGGCCGAACAAAGACTCCGTAAGCTCGAAATGGACGGGCTAGACAGCCAGGGGAAGAAGCCTCGTGTGGGCCGGCGCAATTCAAGCATTTTATAGGTATCATGCAGGGACCACTATGAGATTCTGAGGCGCAAATGCTACACCGGGCTCGACGTGTGCAGCAATTTATGATGTGAAATCCTTGACAGCGGGAGCAGACTTGAAGGCGGGGGCAATTATCAGCTAGCCAGATTCTAGCAGAGCGAGCAAACAGGCGAATACTGGTCGGGAGTTTCTCTGAAGCTGGCTTTGAGACTACCAGACGGAGGGTTCCTTCCCACTCTGGGGATTCCCGCGATCGTCGCGTCCATGATATGGAGAAAATTGACTCAGTGTCAATTTTGGCACCTGCTAGCTCCTACTGGATATCTGCGTCGGAAAAGGCCTCCAGTGATTCGGAGGAATTGTATCCGTATTTTGGGATTGGGCCTAGAAGAAAGTTTGTGCGTTTTTCTTAACTTTCAATTGGTACAATTCCAGTCAAGGGCTGCAGAGCTACAGCTGCCTGGAGAAGATCTGTTGCTTGGTCGTGAGAGGGAGCAACCAAAGCAATGCCAGACAGAACCGAACGAACGTCCTTGATTAGCTCTGAACGGTCTAGAAGGATTCTCAGCTTCGAGCGGACAAGGAGAGAATCTAGGTGGCGTAAGGGGTGATCAGGCGCTAGGCGAACCATGACCCTCGAATCGGGCTTGGATTTTACAGCTGATAGTGCAGTTTTTTTCTTAGTTTGGAGTGGCGGAGCTGGAATAGAGGAGCCTTTCTTCGCCATAGATGAGTATGACAGGGGTGAGTTTATAACTGGAGGTGGATAATTTATCTTGTTTTCATTAGTTTGTGACAGTTGTTGACTGCTCAAAGACTGGCAAGCCGGCAATGACCCGGGCGGCGCTGCGTTTCACGATAGCTTTTAGATCAGCTGCAATAGCTGGTGGAAGAGCGCGAAGGTGTTGAGCACCGGCGTTTTGCCATGCTAATGACGATGTGGCAATGTCATTGGTCGTGGCCGCTGAGGGTTGGTGTATTACAGGCGCTGATTCACGCGTCGGTGATGGGGTAGATTTGGTATCTACTTTCGGAGTTTGAATAGGTTGACTTTTAGAAGAGGCATGTATAGAGCTGGAAAGGCCTGTACCAGAATTCTTTTTCAAGACTCTTGTGGCTTGTAAATTTGGGGCCCAGGTTGCAGGCTCGAGCATATGCAACGGGTCGGGGAGGTAGTCATTTTCTGACCCTGAGTCCATGGACTCATCTTCGGTGTCAATCAAAATTGACTCGGCTGGAGAATGGTGACTCTCAGAGGAAGCTGCAAGAATGGCTTCTTCGCGTGCGGATGTAAGTGAGCTCTTGAGTCTTACGCGTTTGGCAGTATGCGTAATAGTTTTCGCAGGTAATGCGATCGCGACAGGCTTTTTCCGTCTACCAGGAGGCATGCTGTCTAATTGCGAAGTGGGCGTGTCCAAAATAAGTTGTTATATTTTTTATTATTGTTATTATTATTATTATTATTATTATTTAACGTGAAATAAGTTGTGGAATAAAACTAGACTTTTGTTAAGTCATAGGAGCATGTGATTACAATCACGTGCCACACAACAGTGGGCTCGCAAGACGTTATAGTACTTTTATTATGGGCACATCTATGGGTCTGTTTACACGATCGTCTGACCAATACACCAGTGATGTATGATGTGGCCTTGAGCCACACGCGATACCCTAGCCTCGACTACTTCATGTTCGAAATGTCGCGCAATATTTATGGAACGAAAGTAGAAGTTGACTAAAAGTGTGTCATGTTCGGATTATAGCTACAAGTAAAAGTGTAAGCGACACAGAGCCTAAGCCACAGCATAAACGAGTGTGGCGCCATCTAGGCATAGAAAAACCCCAATAGCCTCCTTGTGCCCACGCCATACAGCCGCTCATGTCTCCAATAGATAGCCTGAAGCGCTACCATATTACCCATTCCAACCTCCTAAATACACATAAGATCGTGTCGGGAACCTAGACGAAATGGAGGGCCCGTACGTCCACAACACTCTGTGTCTCTATTTCTAACACTTCATCGTCTCATATCACAACAACAATAGGAGTAATGCTGGGCGAAGCTGGCTAGGGTCAAGCTCAGCCGTGGCTCACCAGAATTAACAGTAGTCTAGATGTCAGGTTCGCTAGAGCATCACTCCATCACCCTCTTATCAGACGCCAAAACTTCCAGACGATCTTACCATAGTGTCCCGATGACACCATTCCCCCACCATCGATTTCAGGCTGTACGAGAAAGCTGATTAAAATTGGGGCAGAAGGCAGACTCTCGCGATTAGATTCCTTCAAACAATAGCGGGCCTCGCAGTACACTCTAGACTTATTCGTATCTTCAGATGGAGCTCTCACAGAAGAGCGGGCAGGTGCAGAGTACGTCATCTATCGAAGTCTCGCGCAGGAGATTTCGCGAGGCTCATCCCAACTCAGAAACTCAGCAGGAGTCTATGATGCTGAAATTGCCGGGCCAACAGAAGGTCTAGCTGCGACTCTTCCTATCCCACTGGCATACAGTACCTTCAACGACACGGTCTTTCGTGATAACTAGGAAGCTGTTGTCCATCTAATCTCGGGTACGCCTACAGTTTTCAGCTTGAGAAAACTTTCTATATTTTCCAAGCTCACAGTAAGCTTGAAAAGAAGGTCACACGGCCAAAATACGAGGCCTGGGGAAGTGGCTATCTGATGGTTCCCGGAAAATACAGGTATAACCGTCAACCAATCCGTCGGTGTGGCCTCAGCTCCTATCTTAGTGCTCTCTATAACGAGGGCATGGTGGTATATCAAAGCTTAATACGAAGCTTCCTCCACACTTTACTAAACTCCAAACTTACCGACCGGGTATAAAGGGCTAGTTGTTGGATCTAATACCGGGATCACTATTCAGCTCGTCCATCCAGGATAACGCACTCTCGTGTATTTCCTAGCTCCATATTCTGGCCATGACGACCTTGATTTCGAGATACCCACGTGGGTATTTGTATCACAATGTAGTTATAACAGTAATGATAATTATAGGTTATCATGTATTCATTCTGCCTCTATTGTTTCCACTTGGGGAAGATGTGAGAGCTTCAAGCCACAGGCTCATTAGAGAAACTTAGCCGACGAATCGAGTGACTAATTGAGATTGGCCTGTGCATGCCATCTAATGTGTGGAGATGCGCGAAAAAAATGTTACATTGTACCACTTGAGTCAAAGAATACCCAGCATATTTGGCTACTCTCTGACCCAGGCTGCACCTTTAACAGTGCTGACAACCTCTTTTGTTATTTCAAAGATCATTGATAAATTGTCCATGATGAATAGCTATTCAGCTCAGTGTTTACCCGTGGAATTCAGTAAGAGAGATTTGAGAAAAAATTTGAAGAAATAAATACAATTCAGTGCACTTCATTCCCATTTCACAGCACCAGAGCCACAGTCCCGCCAGCATCCCTCTTATTGCTAGAATACATCCGCATATATATTGAGCCATCTACTCTGCACTTCTATGATTTTGCTCATGGCTAGCTAGTTACATACGCCATTGAAATCTTACGAATATTAACCCGCCAATACAATAATACCCCATTTTTCCATAAAAGGTAGACAAAAAGGTGCCTGTAAAGCGGCAGCGTTCTAGGAGTAGAGATACATATGGAAACGTCAGGGCAAGGATAAATGATCTGGTCATCGAGTTTCGGCTGAACCCGAACATCGGAAAGCCGCAAACATCGTCACAAATGAGACAACAGGTAGAAAAAGGATTACTTGTATTAACACACCCTCACTTATCCAGCTGAGCCTTAGCAGGGCCCAATGCAGTATTGCAGTTCAGTTAAGAAGTGGGCACATTGATTTTAATTCTTATCTATATCGAAGGAAAGTCCCCGGAGTGATCAATCCAAAATGTCAGTGTGGATATCCGTCTCAAAATGTCAAACATATGGTCTTGGCGTGTCTTTATTGGGCAATAGGAAGAGGAGAGGTGCTTCGACTGGCAAAAGATGGGTTCCGTGCGGCAATATTGAACAGCCCGGATGATACGGAAATAATTACAAAATGAATCCTGGCAAAAGGCTAGTTTGAACAGTTCCAGCTTGCAGGAGAAGTAGAAAGTGCAATGGATGAAAAGATAAAACGATGTGGACAAGGTATTGAAGGAGATAGAGGATCACTTAAAGTAGAGCGGAGAAGAGTGAGTTAATTATTTGTTGATAAAAGGTATTAATCAAGACCCAAAAAAACGTAGTAAAAATGTAATGAGGTCTATCAGTCAGAATGAAAAAGCGATCATTTATGCTGTGTTCCCTCGTCATAGAAGTGGATCCATACAAGTACCTGTTCATACGAATCCTACAGGGGAGACGAGACTAGAGTGTGAATAGTAGAAATAGGGATTGCGTTGGGAACCCTTACGTAATGAAGGTAGTCGTTACTAAAAAGATTATACTTGTTATGATGTGAAATCACTCAGCCAATTAGACAAGCTGTATTAGATGATATGGAGATCTATACAAGATGTGGTTGGTGTAGTGACATCATAACAGTTGCATGTGGATGGTGTAAACAAGAATGTAAACTATTCTATAGCATATGATAGAATATCTTACATCACAAGATGGAATATTCTACTAGAAATTAGATAGATGAGCTTTAGGTATAAAGAGGAGTATTCCCATCTATATAGATAGCAATCATCAGGAAACGAATCTAATAAAGCGAACACATATCATCGTCCACTTCATAATAGTGTCAAGCACATATTGATAAAGCCACTGTTTGTTTGCAATTCCTCTCCTCATAATCACAATAATACTTCACTTTCCAACACAAAGATAGGAAAGAATTCACACTGGATGAACAGTGTAAACGCACTTACCACAGGAAACCCAACTAAACCAGTAATTATGAGACATGTAGCTTTGGGATGTTTTTACGGAATTAGTTTCCCCCTTTGTAAATATTATAGCTACATTTACCTGAACGGGCTAAATGAAATCAAATCACAAGCCCCATTCTCCTAAGCCATTCCTAAACGGGTACCTAAAATCTCATCAACATAATTGGTCATCATTTCTAAGGTTCAAGATGATTGGTCTCTCACATCATTCAGAGGCCCAACCGACTCGCAGGCCAAGGTGCATGGAGGGAAGCGTCGCACAGCCTGTAGGGGAGAAGATACCGAATGGCCTATGATTATACCACCAAGGCAAGAAATCCGTCCGGAAGCGTCGAGGGCCTTCTTTCGCTGCGCTCACGAACCCTTAGCCGGCTGTAGCTCATGTGCGCCGCTGTGCGTTCGTGCGTAGGGGTTGCAAAGTGGCATACGGTGACTAGGGACTCAACGCAAGCCTGTAACTGGAGTCACCGAATGCCTACGGAGTTCGTATAGTCAGATGTAAGTTTTTCGTTGTTCTTCTGATCCCGAAATTCGATCCCAAGAGAGCTGGCGAGCTTTAAGGTCCCATCGAGGATGCACACCTCGCATTCTTTGGTCACAATCCGTGCAGCTAAGCGGCCCACTCCTTTCCCACTGTATTCTGATGGGGCTTTTTTTAAATCTTTAATGTGTATGCAGCTATAGAGCTTTGACATATGACCAGAACTATGTATACATATTGGATAACTCTTTTGACGTTAGAGACACTCATATTCTCGATTTCATTCGCGAATACCACTATGAGGTGTACTTGCTTACACAAACAGTCGACCCTCCTCCGTGACTACCCACCAAAGGGACGTTTCAAAACCTTTGATTATCCAAGCGTGCCTACCAGCGCCACGAGAAAAGTGGTTGTGTTTTGCCGGATTTGAACCAGCGATCTACTGTCTCGAGTGGGATATGTGTCCGAGCTATCCAAACTCTACTTGGCAGACCGGCCAAGACGATGTACCACCGCACCATCCAACCATGGCGGTGTTTATAGTGTTGCCCGCACTCTCGCAACCGAAGCCTTGGCACGCAAAAAGCTCAATTTGTAAAAACTCCTTGCCAAAATTCCACGCCCGTCGAGACTGTATCCATCCTTCGCATCATCTTGTTAACTTGTCCTGAATCCTCTCACGTCAATCCCAAAGAGCTGTCTCCCAGATTTGTGCGCCACGCTTTGTGTCCTCCGTCGGGTTTAAATATCGGCGTGGGCGTGTATTTGGCGACCAGGTGAGGCCAGAGAAAGTTGACAAGAGGTGTGGTCATTGGAATGAGGATGTACCAGGTCGTACGTGTAGACTTGATGAAGCTTAGTAATGAATCGGACTCTTTGGGAATGAGATATTGACGTGGTGGAGTATTTTGAATTATTGCCTCGTGAGGCAACTTCTTTGATGTTGCGAAATTTGACTGAACTCGGCTCTGGGAGAATATTCCACTCCCAGGTTCGTAGATGACGTCGCGTGCAGGTTTTCAGTCTTGCTCTCCAAGCTGGAGGTTCGTAGGGGGCACAGAAATACTTTCGGGTTCGGAGCTGTGGGAGGTCACAAGTACACTACATTGTCTTTTTTTTTTTTTTGCATCAGATTTTAATTGCGTATGCAGCTATCTAGCTATGACACAATATCAGAGAAGTGTATGATAGATGACTCAATTTACAAGAAGAGCACTCATGCCTCGGATTTCATTTGCAAGTACCACTCCGAAGTTATGGTGGCTTTTTCTTCACCCCAAGTCAACCCTCATCCGTGAATACCCACCCAGGGGAACATCTCAAAAACCCTGGGTTATCCAGACATGCCTCTGTCATCCATCAACTTTTCTCCGCGCGATATGTGATCTGAGGTGTCTCCTTCCCAAGTGAAGTAGGTGCCCAGGCTACTCAAACTATACCAGAGAACACCACCAGGAGGCGGACCAAAACACCTTCCATCGTTGGCTTGTTTTTATAGTGTCAGCTGCACTCTCGCAAGCGAAGTCTTGGCGCGCACAAAGCCCAATTCGAAAAACTCCTTGCCAAAATTCAGAATTTCACGCCCGTAGAGGTTTTATCCTTCCTTCGTATCATCATGTCGACTTATCCTGATTCCTCTCAATTCCATCTCAAATAACTGTCTCCCAGATTTGTGCGCCACGCTTTGCTTCCTCCGTCGGGTATAAATATCGGCGTGGGCGTGTATTTGGCGGTCAACTGAGGCCAGAGAAGGTCGAAGAGCGGTGTGGTCATCGGGATGAGGATGTACTTGGTCGTACTTGTAGACTCGATGAGACGAAGATAGGAGTCAAACTCGTTGGGAGCGAAATAACGACATGGTGGAGTAATTTGAATTTTTGCCTCGTGGGCCAACTTCTTTGATATTGCGAAATTTGACTGAACTTGGCTCTGGGAGAATATTTCACTCCCAGGTTCGTAGAGGACACCGCGTACAGGTGTTCAGTCTTGCCCTCCACTACATTGTCTTATCTACAACGCGCAAGTACAGGAATAACGCGCTACTAGTCCTAATTACATAACCACATTACGTAGCCAGCCCCATCTCTGACAATACCGACAGGTGATGAGTTCCGTCCCTCAGCTGAGTCTCTGAGTGCTGCCTTATTCGCACCATGTGAGCTAGTCAAGTGAGGAACTCGCTGTGTAGTGCTCTTAACATCTTAAAGCAAAGATTCTCCAAGGTTTCCAGGTATCCAACCGTAAATAATTGTATTTTCTTTTGTGGCAGTCACCATAGCCCCCTTGGGATGGGCAGCAGCCTTCGCTTTTGCCCGATTGACGTTACAAATAAAGAACACGTGGAATAGATTAAATACACAAGGTACCATTACCCTACAGGTTATAAGATGGCTCTAGCAGTTTTTTTTCTTGCCTCAGTAGGGACTTTAACTCTACTTCATTCGTGACAATAGAATGAGTAGATCGCCCTCTACCCCTCCCATGTCTGGAACTGTGTCGGGTCTGTCCACTCAGAGTTTTATCTGCAAAGGCGCAATTTACTTTTCGCCCGTACCTACTGGCCACCCAAGCTCTTGCCGGCCAACTGTTCGTCGATGTGCCCTTCGATTCTTATCTCTGCCTTATCCTTGCACATCTTTATCCCGTGCGGAACAACTCATTTTCACTTGGTAGCCTTGCATAATCCCTTATTGGGCACTTTGTGTATTGCGCAGCCACCACGCGACCGAAGGGCGAGGAACTTGCGCCTCCGCGTGCCTACAGCAGGTTCTTGCGACGATCTGAATTGGCATGGTTCAGTACACAAAAATGAGTCCAGTAAGTCCCGGCCATTCAGGTGGAATAAGTTTACTATATTATCGATAGAAGTTGTATTAGTCTTGCCAGGCAAATTTGTGTAGAGCGCCAAATTAGGGTAAGAGATACATGTCTTTCAGCATGTGTGCTGATAATCAAAAATTCTTATCAAGCGGTGGTCGCGTACTCGAATGACACTCCTTCGAGCAAGAAGAAATGACATTGTGCCATAGTCTCCGCTCGTCTGCGCTAAACCCTAGACACGAAGTGTATGCCTGGTTTGTAGAGATCGTAGGAGGCGTCGCGGACTAACCTTTATCCGTGGGCCACTCACCGAGTAGGCGGTAAAAGTTCATTGTGCCGAATGTATCTCGACTTTATGGGGCAAATCCTAAATTCTTAGGAAACGGGCAGCCAATCTACTCATGGTGCGCGAGGACCTGACCAGTTTTAAGTCCAAACATTCAGAATGGGCCGCAAACCAAATGGTACTTATTCCTAGAATCCTTTGCATGTTTAATAGTATTTACTATTTAACCATCCTCTGTCCTCAGCTGAGCCTTCACAGCCTTAATCATCCAATATTTTGAGAGAGGAGCCAAGCTTCCCGACTCGAGTAATCGATATCAGCACACATGTAAGGCTTGCGGCGAAAAGTTTCCCAAAGGACGCATCGATTCTCTCACGGCTCATTTGGTGAAGAAATGTCCGGCTCTATCCATTCAAGACCGGCAGAATGCCTTACTCCAACTCAACGATTTTCCAAATATTGAAAAAACACCAAACATAAGCCAAAATGTAACCACCAAGCAAAATCCAAATGTCGAATTTCCATTAGTGAGCAGCAGTTGGACAGCCCTTGAAACCTTAGCCGAAGTGTCCAGACAATTTGATATGAGCGAAAAGCATGATGACCGTTCCATTAACACCCAAGGTCTCGGTACAGGCACTAAGATCTCTGAGCTTCAAGCTCCTCGAAAGCTGGAGGTCTACGAACAGTATACTCTTGATAATCCGCCGGTCAGCTACGAGCAACGTCCGAATCGAGAGAAGAAAGGTGAGAAGATTCTTTGGAGATAAAATTTAATTACCAACTTCATAGTATCGAACAAAAAGACACACAACCAAGCGAATGATGCGTCCATGCTAAGTCCAGGCCACATTTCTGTTGATAATATTTCTCACAGTGCCTCAAGCATGTCAATGAGCCTCAATAGTGTCAATGATGCAGTTGCCGCGTCAAGATTCATGCCATCTATGGTCGACCCGCAATTGTTAGGCCATCATATAAACGAGCAAACAAGCATTCACAATGGCAACCCTAGCGATACAAATCATGTATTTACCCAGCTCAAGACTGTTGAGCAAGCCTTGAATGAAGCGGGAACATCATTCTCCGAGTCTCTCTTTAACCAAGGCTGTGGCGAACAACAATTAACCTGGCCAATAGTAGATGGTTCTGAAGTCGAGGCATGCCTCAATGTACAAAATTTTGGAGGCTCTGTAGAAAGCTCCGAAACAACCAGGGCTGTTATGTACTCTCGTCTCACCATGAGTACACCCTTGATGAATAATGAATACACTGCTGAGTATAGAAATGGTCAGAAACTAAATAGACCCAAGGTTCGAGGTCGATTCAGCGCATCGCGTCGAAAAGAGGTTCAAGAAGTAAGAAAAAGAGGTGCATGCATTCGTTGTAGAATGCTCAAAAAACCTTGTTCGGAAGGGACACCATGCAATACTTGCAAAAATGTCGAGAGTGCTCGTCTATGGAAAACCCCATGCATCCGAACTAGGGTTGCCGACGAACTTGAGATGTACACCGCCGGTCTTCACGCTGTTCTGGCCTATCACGAAGTTAACAATGCCAAAGGTCAGATTGATTTCCGGCCCTCGAATTGTCAAATTTACGCCTCGCACTACCCTGAAACAGCCATTTTCGCCACTTTTAATTCTCTTGAAGGTCATAGTCTTAGTTCCATTGCGGGACATATTGATCCAAGCCTCAACCAAAGCCTATGTACAAATACCTTGCATATTCTCGATCATGACAAGGATGATCTCACTAGTAAACTGGAAGTTTATGCGAAAAAAATGTCTAGCATTTTTTTCAAGAGTGAGCCCTCCAAATTTATGCATACCACCTTAAATTTTGCCTTGGAGCTTGCAGTATCGAAGCAGGATCATCTTTTACTACGTGCTTTGGAGCTATGGTCTTTTGTTCATATTCTTATGGATCATGAGATGACGTGGAAACTTAGACAAAATGACGAAAATGAAACTCATAATGGAAAACACACTGCAATTGAGCAAATCACCATGGAAGGCACTCAAAACCTCATATGTTCCCAGCTTAATGCTGCGGCAGAAAAGAAGGCGGCAATATTGTGCAAAAGTGTTCTGAATGAACTGGAACGCCGATTGTTGCAAAGGACAGCTGCTGATTCTTTCGAGACATTTCTTGTCGTAATTGTTACTCTCAACTGTATTGAAAAGTCAACTTGGCTTTTTCAATCTTGGGAACAAGAGTCCTTTAAATATCGATGGCCTCTCGGTAAATCTCCGAATTCTATCTCTTCTCAGGGCGAAAAGCTCGCTGATATGCTCCAAATGCTTCTACGCATGCGAAATGTTCCTCCAAAAACATATACCAGACCCGAAGATGGCATACTTGCCAGCGATGCTAGTCCTTTGGCTCAGGAATATTACAAAAAGCTCAATCTAAGCTGTGAGTTTTTATCATGCACAATTGTCGGTAGCTAAAGTCCATAGATGTTCATGTTCTGGGGAAGCAGGCTAATCATACTTTTGACTCGGCCGATTCCCGATGTTTTGAGCTGCGCTACTGCTCACGACTGTTATTGCCTATCACTTAGTCATATTTTATGAGTCAGCAGGTGATGATAGGCCCAGGGATTTTATGGTGTGGAAATTCTAAATCGGGTGTAACCGCAATATCACAGCATCTAGAGGCAAGACGTGGAAATATTGATTGAGTGCGGCTTGAGCTATGGAAAAGCTTTTTTCCTGCTATCCGTACCCATTATCACGTCACTATATTCTCTTTTCGACTATACTAGAAAGCGACTTAACTTACTAAGACGGACCTTTATACCTAAAAAGTGCAAGATCCAGATTTGTGCCTTGTTCAAGCCTCTACTTACCCAAGACCATAGACTGAGAGGGCTAAATGGGTGGAAAGGTTGAATTATCCATCTAGCTTCTGCATCAACTCTCTAGTAAGAGCGCCCATATAAAATCGACCCTGCCGGCTCTAAAATATTTAAAAAGAAAGATTAAGATTCCCTTAAAACTGCATACAAACCTATAACGCAGTCATTGATCGATGCAGTTTATTATATTAAGTCCTTGAGACTCCTTTATACTAGTGTCCGAGAAATATATCATCGTTGTTATCTCCATGTCGCATAATATAGAGAAGACGCATAAATCAGAGTGGTCATATCTTTGTGCGCTGTTTTCAAATCTCATAAGGATAAACTTGTATGGACACGAGTTAACCCCCAACCCTCATGTTTGAGTGTGCTCAACGGCCTGGCCCGAGCTTCTTTTACTTCATCGTCTATTCTGTCCCGGTTCTCCCTTCCCTAGCCATCGGAGCCATAACGTCAAAGCCCCGATATAGTTAGAGGCTCTTTTCACGGTGCCTGCTTCATCTTGTCTTGCTGGAGCTTGGTGCTTAAATGCATGGCCACTACTTCAAAACGCGCGCAGGGGCGTCTTGATTTGACCATGCATAAAATCTTGTCCGAATGAAAGACATTTACTGCTCATGCGCTGGAGAATTAGCAGCGGCGGGTGTAATAGTGTCGAAGGAAAATTGTACTGGTATCATTCATTCACAAGCACCGCTATTTCTAGCAGCTCAGAGCAATCAGTAACAATCAGACAAAGCTGTAGATGTCGTTTTAACGGCCATAGCCAAGCTCCTGTACTGATGTGGGCGAACTGAAGCACATGAAATGTTCTCCTGCAAACTCTGGGTGCAATTTGAGTAAGGGAAGCCCCTCTCATCTTGAATATGAAAAGCGCCTCAACCGTTTGGGGAAGCGAGAGCAGAAAAGTGCGTTGCAGTGGATAGACAGCTCCACTCGAGATTCCTTGTTGGCTGACGCTCGGGTGGTCTCTACTTTTTGAGTCCGCTTGCACTGCGATATCCGGTGGGTGATTTTTTTGAACATACTGCCCTTGAAATGTTGCAACAAGTATAGAGCCTTATCTCCTCTAGCTAGTTGTGATAAGCTTTATGTGGCTCATCTAATGGAGCAGCCTCGACATTCGGCCCAATTCCGTGACAGGGGCCCCTCTCCAGGAGATTAGATTATTTTGAGAATGACAATTGCTATCTATTCTATAGCTTTCAAAAAACTGTTGTATACTATCAGCATGCTTGGGAACATGTTAATACCTCTACTTTGTCTAATATAGATCGCCGTATTGCGGGCACCATATCATAATAAGTTGGAAATATTCAAGGTAGAGTTGGCATGCGGCGGCGATGAAACCTTGCAAATGATTTTCTCACATTCCCTAAAATCCTTAGTCATGACTCATAATTTTCCTCTCCTACCATGATTGAAAGATTCCAAGGATACTAGAAATATTTATGAACCTCGATCTTACTTTCGAAAACTGGGATAAAGTATGTCTTCTCACATGGCACTCGGGATGCTGAAACATGAACAAACATCAAAGTCTAGTTTCATAGAAGTGCATGGCGGCAGAAGCTGTTTTATTGTTAATGTTTGGTAATGATGGGTAAAGATCGGCCATCCAAGAGATTGTAGATTCACTGGAAGCTTGTCGTGGAATACAGACCACTAACCCTATTATAGCCTGAATACCCTGACCTGAGGCAGAGAGATCAAACGGGATATCCGGTCAGCCAATATTAACTACAGAGATGTACAAGTGATAGTGGTGAGATCTAGAGACAAACCCGAAGATGCTCTTTTGAAGCAACGATAGACAATCCTGGCGATATGAAAATAATTACGCAATGGATTCTTAGCCATGGTTGGATGGAACAATTCTGCTTGACAAATGCAGGCAAATGCTGATTAGGGGACGTGATAGGGACACAGAGACGGCACTTCAGTGCAACTATGCTTTCTCAAGGATAAATTGCAAATTTCAAAGACATGAATTAGAAAACTAGGCGTGTGCTCACCGAGGGGTTTCCTCCTATGTAAATATATAGATAGGGTTATAGCCACCTGCATGGGCCCGCAGGGCGCCAAAATAGGAAAATAAAGTCAAGAAAACTACAGAGATAAATTATAAGGACATCTCCAAGACCGGCTTTCAGAAATAGCAATCCTGTGGTTAACGAAGGTATCTTTGCATAAATTATTAATATAGGCTTTCGGGGATGATTAGGATTTGGGCTACAGGAAGAATGCACTTATTATTTCCCAGATTAATTATCGGAGGAGATTGACAAGTTAATTCAGATACCCTCATGCGATGGATGGTTCAAGGTCGAGTCGGAGACTGTATTAATGAGTTGTTCTGCCTATAAGAAGCGGAAGAAATGGCTTGTTCAGCTTCGCAATTTGTATTCTCTTCTTTTGACCATAATCATCTCTGGCATCTTGCTACCACAATTATCACTTTGAAACCTATGAATTCCTACCTCTAAACCTCGAGGACGCCAGATCCTACCCCTTTTGTATCGCGCCGGAACAGATCCTATGGCTGAAAGACCGGTTCTTTGGCAAAGCTGCACATCTTCAGTCACCGTTCCATGTAAAATAAGCCCTAAAAGATCATGAGGCCAGGCTAGCATTGAGTAGATTGTAAGCTCTCCTGTTAGAGATGGTCTCCGGTGCTATTCAGACTCTGATTGGTATGCTAGTCCGTCTAAGGCTCGGGAAATGGCCGAAATGCTTTGCGCCAGCGACGGTGTAGGATGACCTCAACTATCCCCTGTGCGTCCCACGGGTTGCGTGATAAAGTCTAGTCGACGATCTAGATGGTCAGGCTATAGATAGACATGAGTCAAGTGGCTTTGGAGGCCTGCCCAGACAAGAGTTGCATAGGCCAGTCGTTGCGGCAGGGGTTGCACGTGGACCTCGCCCATGAGGGGCGCGTGGTGGAGATAAATGGTCGTCCCGTAGGAGAGATGTGTGGATGGGGGAAAGGGGACGTTACGTGGCGGCAGAGCCTCTCCCGCCTTGAGCCATTCTACAGGGACGCCTGCACTTGCCAGCGCGGATCAAGCACGATTGTCAAGGCACGCACGAACTCCAGCTTGCCGAGGTAGGGCAGCTAGAGCCCGGACAAGTTAAACGAGTGGCATGAAGCATGTCGTCAGTGCTTCCACAACGCCAAACCTCCGTAGCCATGCCGACCCCACGCCATATCGCTATGCTAATGCCTAGCCACTTGAAAATAATAGCCAAAGCTTCGTCGCGTTCACGGGTTTCCAGTCGATTCAATCACGCTTTGCACCAGCGCATTGTTCGTCTGCCACGAGCCCCGATTCATTTCATTCCTATCCATGCGACCCATCAAACTGCTGGTCCGGAGAAGCTCCTACGTCGCCAAGGGTCGAGGCCGATAATTTCCTCTCGTCACGGTGTGTGTGTGCGGGTCACGGGATACTAGGCTGGGAGGACAATTTTTTTTTGCATCAGATTTTTATCGCGCATGCAGCTACCTATTTTTTTTTTTTTTTTTTAAATCATTTAATGTGTATGCAGCTACCTAGCTACGACACAATATCAGAGAAGTGTGTAATTGGTCTGGGAGGACTGGCGTGAACCCCATTATGTAATCACATATTAGTGTACCCGTTGGTAAAAATAAAACGATAAATACTGACTATGGAATTCACGCGTGTTTCGTGTGCCCGACGACGAGAGTCAATAAGTGTGTAGAGCTTGGGACTAGACGAAAACTTTTATTGCGATTAACCTTCAATCTCCTCCTTGAATACATGAAATTCCCCATACTCCAGATCATGCAACGATCAATGATATATGGCAGAGTAAACTATCAGAAGGAGGGTAAGACTGAACACCTGTACGCGGTGTCCGCTACGAACCTGGGAGTGAAAAATCATCCCAGTGCCAAGTTCAGTCAAATTTCGCAATGTCGAACAAGTTGGCCCACGAGGCAATGATTCAAAATACTCCACCACGTCAATATTTCATTCCCAAAGAGTCCGGTTCATTACTAAGCTTCATCAAGTCTACACGTACGACCTGGTACATCCTCATTCCAATGACCACACCTCTTGTCAACTTTCTCTGGCCTCACCTGGTCGCCAAATACACGCCCACGCCGGTATTTACACCCGACGGAGGACACAAAGCGTGGCGCACAAATCTGGGAGACAGCTCTTTGGGATTGGCGTGAGAGGATTCAGGACAAGTTAACAAGATGATGCGAAGGATGGATACAGTCTCGACGGGCGTGGAATTTTGGCAAGGAGTTTTTACAAATTGAGCTTTTTGCGTGCCAAGGCTTCGATTGCGAGAGTGCGGGCAACACTATAAACACCGCCATGGTTGGATGGTGCGGTGGTACATCGTCTTGGCCGGTCTGCCAAGTAGAGTTTGGATAGCTCGGACACATATCCCACTCGAGACAGTAGATCGCTGGTTCAAATCCGGCAAAACACAACCACTTTTCTCGTGGCGCTGGTAGGCACGCTTGGATAATCAAAGGTTTTGAAACGTCCCTTTGGTGGGTAGTCACGGAGGAGGGTCGACTGTTTGTGTAAGCAAGTATACCTCATAGTGGTATTTGCGAATGAAATCGAGAATATGAGTGTCTCTAACGTCAAAAGAGTTATCCAATATGTATACATAGTTCTGGTCATATGTCAAAGCTCTATAGCTGCATACAC